ACAGATAGACAAGACCAGGTCGAGTCATCTGGATAGAACGCCGTACATCAACGGTCTCACAGCGCGCCGTTAAGACGTAACCGCTGTCGTTTCGCTAACAAGCAGCTAACGAAATCCTGACGAGAACGAGGTTAGGCTTAACCAGACGTAATCGTCACAAAAAGGGCCCAGCCCGCGCGGGGGGGTCCCCCGGGAGCTCCGGCCGTCACCCATTAACGCCAGGCTTGCATCATGGGCAAAGGTGGCCGGCCGGCGCAGCCGGCCAGCCAGCCGGTACGACCGAGGGGGTGCCGGCAGGGGGCCGGCCGGGATGGGAAACCCTGCGGCTACTAGTAAAGAAACCATATGTGCCACATGTACAGTTACAACTAATACGTCGCGAACACACGTGAATCTGTGCATAACGTCCTCAATGCGATGCAAACCAAAAGCATGAATGATTGATGCATCATGCTTGATCAACGGCCCTCACTGGCAACCTTTGATCTTTTTCACTCGAAATCATAGCGGAACTTGAGTTCGAGATCCTGGATTGATTTCGAACAACGTTGCACTGGCTGGGTAGTGGCGGCTGTGGAAGGAAACAAACATGCAGACGCAAATGTATATGCATGCCACGCCTACAACCTCGTCTAGCTATGAAACGGCGTGGCATGTTCGAAAAGCAATTCACCGGTCAATGGTTGAGACCGCTATCTAGCTCGATCTCTCAAAGCACACTACAACGCTGCAATAGCATGTTTCGTACTAATGTTTGCTTGTGACCTACAAATCAACCTTGCAGCCATGTGCGAAGTATCTTGCAAGGAGAGACAATGCAGCCTATCTGTACGTAGCTATGCTCTCCGACTTTTTAGACGCCGCAGCCACATAATGCATAGGCTTTCCATGGCATCTATATGGATCCATGTCGGTTTGATTTCCTAACGCCTCGCTACCTTACCAAACCTGAGCGTCATGGTGTAAGCTAGATCAGTCCAACTCAGCCTGGCAACAACTCTTCCATGTGATCGATGAGAATGATATCCCAAAGTGTGTTTATAGATACTAGTCACTGACAAGAATGCCTGAGAAGGTGGTCATGCTTACAACCACTGTAACCATTACCCATTCCAATAGTCAAAGACAATGAAGCTACACCAGCACTTTCTCATACAGAAGCCGCCGGTTTATCAAAACCCGTGCATCAAGCGCTTGATCAGCAACAAGAGCCAGAAGTGTCAGGTGACAGACGAGACGTCTGGAAAGAGAACTATGAGCAACGGGACAGCTTGACGATCTGCAGTGTCCACACCTCTCCCTTGCCGGCCAGATAAAACCCCTACCTTTCACAAAGTTTTTCGCCCGATTACGCTTCTCGGCCAGATAAAACCCCCTACTTTCACAAAATTTTCCGCCCGATTACGCTTTCTCGACACAAAAAACCCAGTGTCTCTTCCAATCCGCACTCCCGTTGCTTCCTGTACACAAATGCCGGCAGACCCCCACAACCACCTTGGCGCCGACACGTGTTCCTAAGTCGGATGCTGCTCTTTTCGGGATCTTGTTCGTAGCGGCTTCCAGTCCCAGCCCAACGATCTTTACGGCCCCCGTACTGCCGCTTACACTCCGGGAGGCCGATAAGCTAGGGGAGGGCGATATGGCGCAGGGCGCCGCACGCCAGCTGGCAGTGCTGCAGGCATGCCACCTGGCACTTGTGGTCTGCCGGGAAAGGGAGCGGCCATGGGTGGTGGGGGGTACACTGGTGCCGCTTGCGATGGACCTGCTGCACAAGACAGCGAAAGGGTAAGAAGAAGCCGTTGAAGATTGAAGTGGAGTAGGGAGCACATGATCCCAAAAGCAAGTGCCTATTGGGGACAAGGGCTTCAAGATTCGGTGCGACCGTACGTCGGGTTTGCATGGTCGGGCAGAACCAGCTCCTCTCGTTTGAAAAGAGAAGTGCTCCTGCGGAACACTTGACAAAAACAGGCACAGGACGCACGAACCACCAAAGACAAACAGAATAAAGTACCAAGGAACCGTGTGCCCAGTCTTACCTTGCCCAAAAGCGGATCCCGCAGGCGCCCCTTGCCTGAACCCGTTCTGTGCCGGAAATGTGATCGGCCCGTTTGGCTGCGCCAGACCGCTCATCCCGTATCCATTCTGCTGCGCAGGATGCGTTGGCTGCGCCTCAGAAGCATCGCTCGCCTGCCCGTATCCCGGCTGCGGAGGTTGTGTGGGTTTCAGCGGGTTATACGGGGCGCGCGCTCGGTTCGGCTGCTGGCCCGCTTTGGGGGAGGGGGTGCTGGGAGCCGGGGCGGGGGAATCTTCCCGGGGCCCTGTTGGCGTGACGGGCGGCCTCTCCGTGGGGGTGCTCGGTGCGGGGGCCTCGGAAACAGGGCCTTTGGGAGGGGGGAGCTCGACCTCGATGACGCCCATAACCGGAGCGTTGCAGGTGGGGCAGTTCCTGAGGAATTGCGCGCAGTTGGAGCAGGCGCATAGGTGGGCGCAGTCCAGAAGTACCTGCAGAAAAGGACGCCCGCAAGTTAGATCTAGGACATCTAAGACAAAGCTTTGCAGTACTCTGATGGCACGCTAATTCGGCAGATAGACCAAACAGCACCTGCGAGATATGGGGACAAGGACATTTCCAATGATGAGGGTAGCTTCCGGTAAGAGCTGTGGAGCAAGCGATTTTGATTAGGGAAGAGGCATAAAATACGCGCAGAGTACAAGTGGTGCAAGATCTTGCACCAAAATCTACAGCGCTCGGAATGAAACAGGACTGAACGAAACAGCCCCGTTAGAAGACACATGTCGATAGGGACTTAATTCCTAGCATGCGCATAGATTGCAACATGGACGCAGATCGTGCACTCCACACCAGTCAGCTTAAGAATTGGGGTTCAAAAATCACCCTTTGGAAGGTCATCATTCTTATCCTTTCACTGCTTGAGCCAAAGCAGGGCCGACCGATATCTCTATCTTTTACGCTAGTTTCACCACAGCGACTCCGCAAGACTTTTTCCGCTGACTTCACCAGCAGGACTCTGTGAAAGAACTCGGAAAGCACCAACAGCAGCAACCACGAGTCCTAGATGACGCGCATAAACCTCCTAATGATTAGAACAAGGGTGCTCCCCAATGCAACAATAGCAATCATGTCTACATTCCAAACGGGCTTACAAATAACGAGACAAGCAGAAATAACCGTCCACGCACCATGTTCGCCAGCCTGACGTTGCACTTGCCGCACATATCTCCGTCCCGCGTCTTCTGGGCGGGCGCGCCCGGGCCCTTCGCTTGCTCAGCGACCTTGCGGATGTGTGGCGGAACGTACCCCGCGTTCCTTTCCACCCGGGCGAGCGCCTCCTGCGGATCGACACGTGGCGCTCCCCCATTGGCCTCCTTGGGGCCCGGCACAAACACAGCCGACGGCTCCCTGATCTTGTCCGCCTTGTGGGGGGGCAGGTACGATCCCTCGGGGGGGCTGCTTCCGCTGCTAAAACCACCCCCCTCGAAGGAGTTCACTCTACTCTGTCCTGGGGTCTGTGGCATGGGGCTATTGTTTACCAAAGATGGTTCAGAACCACTATAAGGGGCTGGGGGGGGCGCCGACGGAATTGCAGGAATCGTGACTGGAGGGGGGTTTGGCTGGGCTGCGATCGGGGGGGGTGCCGGCTCAAAACCCTCCAAGTTCTGAAACAGGTCCTTTGGCAATTGCGCCCGCGGAGGGGGATTCGGCACGAAGCCAGTGGGTAAAGGCTGGCCGTTCGCGTGATTTGGGAACCCTTCCGCGCTTGGGGGTCTGCTTTGGGGGGCGATCGATGCCCCCGTTCCGTTGGGTCGAGCGTTTTGGGGATGACTGACGATGCCGCAGATGACTCGGTTCTGGTGGACGAGCTTGATCAGTTCGGCGAGGATGAAGGATGGGTGGCGGCGCTCCACGTGGCTCAGGCGCTCCAGCCGGACGTCCAAAAACCTGCGGGCGGACACGTCTGGTGGTCAGCGTCGAAAGCTCCGTCGAAGAAATCAGGTTGTACTACTCTTACAGTCGTTTTCCAGTAATGAACCGCCGATTGTAGAACCGCAGGTTGTTTGATCAATAGAAACGAGTGACGCACGTGGCTGCTAGGCCATTGTCAGGCCGGTGAGCTGAGTCAATTGTCCTGGGAGGAATAGTACGCGCCTCTTGAGCCAGGCTAATAATCGTGACGTTAAAAAAAATGGTCGTTTCTTTAGACGGAAGACTGTGCTGACAGCATTCCTTTAAAGCAGGCTTACGACTGGAACGTGTAAGAGTGCGGCGCATTCAGAAGCAGGGGCATTTCGCTCGTTCTTCTTTCGACTCTTGGAAACACTCGGCTTTCATCAACCAGTCTTCTGTGGCAGAGACAAAGAAGTATTGACTCAAGAGCAAGCAAGCTTGCTTATCGGATATGTTCCTCTTGAGCGCAATAAATCATAACGGTTATTACAACGGGGTCCTGATAGAGATGACGTTTTCGCAAGGAGTCAATTTGATCTGGAACATACCACCAGCCAACCAGTGACGCCAGGTCCAGCAGCAATCAACGTCAGCAAAACAAATACACCAGTATCCACAGTGTTGCCACGATATGTGTTGCCCGCTCACCTTCTTGGCAGCAGGGCCAGTCCAAATGCTAGCGTGTCTGTTGCGAAAACGTTCTCGAGGATGGGTATGATTACGGCGGGATGCAGCAGCTCGTCCACGATCTCGACGCGATGCTCGTCGCCCACTGCACTCACAAAGATGGTGAATGAGAAGTTAAGATGTTCCGAAGTCTAGATTTCCGGAATCCAGGGTCCGTGAGTAGCAGACTTTTGTGGGAGAGCGCGGGCGGGTATTGTTTACATGGATACCAAATGACTTGCAAGGGTATCAAGATTTCAACTCCAAAACCCGAATGGAATCCAAGACCGTGCGATGGGTGTTTGCTAGTCAAGTGGTGAAAAGCTCCGGTGATGGAAGGAAGGCTGTCAACGTCGACATTGAACGGGGAAGGGGATCCTGAGCTGAGCCTATGGACTCCCGGTGGTATTTGCCCAGGATGGACGGGTCTCGATCTACCTATCTGAAAGCAGGAACCATCTGCCTATCCAACTAGAGTTTGGCAACATGGTTACATACACAGTCCAAGCAGCAGCGTCCAGATTCGGCCTTTCCGACAAAATCTACCGTTACTATTCGGGCTTGCAACAGGCGGGGACTGTCACAACCAACGGCCGGCAGACTGCTTGGATCACAAGCTAGTCTAGCACACGCTTTTCGTGGAGGAAAGCGTATACGAAGAAGCGGTGTTCTCACCACAGGGGGTTGCCAGGATGGACTTGGTCAGCTTCGGACCGAGACTGGGGCCCTTATCGAGACACAGCTCCGCATGCTTTCCTCGCAATTGGGTTACAATGGCTTCTGCAATAATCGGAACGTTTAACCTGCAAAAACAAGAGGAAACGCATAAGACTGTGCTACAGAAGAGCTTGAATACTTCGAACGGCGCCCTTAGCCCTCCAAAAACCTTTCGCTCGGTCAAAGCAATAAAGTCTTGAGGTTCAAAGCAGAAAGGGACTGGTACAGCTCAGAGGATCAGGTCGTACTGACGTTCCTCCCTGTGGACTGTGGCCAATCCAGAAAAAGATGTTCGTTATGTGATGGATCCGAGCGTCACTAAACTTTCGTGAACCAAAGCATAGGCCCCGGAAAGTGGCCCAACCAGGCAACGATGAGATCAGAGTGAAACAAGAGCGATGCAAAGATGTTCAGCTTCGAAAAAGCGGCGGGAATCAAACACTTACGTGAGCAAACCTTGCAATGCACGATTAGGGTACCGGGACCCCACAATCTCCCTTGCGGAATCCGCTAACGTCATGGCAGCAGACATGGCTTCGGGCGCCGGTACGCACCAACGGATGCACTCAACCAGGGTCATGCTGGCTTGCTGGAAGCACACAAGAGAGGATGCACTGATTAGCGACTAAAGTGGACGAAAACAACGTAGAGATAGCCATTGCGCAAGGTGAGGTGAGGGTGGTCTACTATTGTGGGTACAGGTGCAAGCATATTGAGTCGCCTTTGTAGATCTGCTTAGTATTGCCCACGCCACTCGGTTTCATTGCACAATAGGAGGATCACTGCTGGTTGCAATCAGCTGTTGCGAACTGAGGGAAATGCGAGAGACAATTAGATGCTGGTAAACCTTCCAGAATGTGGACCAAAAAAAACCAGTCGAAGCGAAACAAGTAGTCAAATTGTCCCTTGATCATAAAGGGCCTGATCCAAGTTATAATCGATTCGTCTCTCCATTGCGGAAAACGGCAGCCTCAATTCTTTCAATCTAGTCGAGAATTGCAAATGTACCCTCAACATGCAATACACCTCGTAATCCATATATTTCTCATCTCACGAAAACTCTGAAAGCCTGTTAATCACTGATTCTCATGCTGAGAATAAATCTTTGCTTTCAATGCCTTACCTGATGTTTTGACAACCGTGCTGCTTGCGGCCCCATATCCTCGCACATTATCTGCAGGCCTTTCAGTGCCACCGCAATTGGGATGTTTCGTTTCGCCCCCACGGGAGCAGCTAATGACGTGATGAACGATTCTGCCAGGCGCTCAATCACCCAGTAAGCATGGGGATCCAGTGCCAGAGTGACCTGGGATGAGAGACGGAATGACGTCAGCACGCTGGCTTCTACGTTTCTGCTAGACAAGAACAATGAGAAACGACAGCCTTTCTTTAGGGCGGACAACAATTCGAGCGTCCTCTCGAGCACCCCACCAAGCTCAGGCGGATCCTTAGCCGCCCAACTAGTCTCCCAGAGCCATTCAGCAACTCTTCACAGCTTTCAGAAGTGAAATTTGACCTCGACAAGAGGACTGCTTGCGCACTGCTCCATGTAACACTTCTTTTAGCATGTACCCAATGATGACCATGTCAGCATGAAGTAACTTGCGACTTGTAGCCTCCCCGCTTGCAGCTTTTGAAAAGAGTCGCTTCTCTCACAGGCCCCAACGCTGACTGGCACAGCAACTTCTGTTTGAACCCTCTGGTTGCCATCTGAATCCTGCCCAACAAGGGAACCTGCAAGTCCAGTAGGTCAGCAGATTAAGGCTGCTGAAAACAGAGCAAGGACATACTGAGTGAAGGGGCAAGCAGTCTCACCATGTGACCTTTCAGGCTTGTTATGAAGACAGCTACATCCTCTTGCGTGCGCAGCCATAACGCCTGAAGCACAGCGGACAGAAGTACAGTGAGACACAGAAAAACGAGTTTGCAAGAGTGAATCATGCAGTATCTGTTCGCAATAGCAGCCGCAATCAGCTAGCCAATACCCCAAACCACCAGCCACACAAACAGAGCTCTCGGGTTGATCCACTTTCCGAATCTCTGAGCTAACACAGTCTACTCCCAAGCTGCTGACACCTGGAATCCAACTACATAAATTACCTTCTACAAAATCCTCTTGCTGAAATCCTCTAGTAGACACCTTGAATGTGTGACTGTCTTTTGCATCGGACTGCCAGACATGGGTACGCATTCCCTCTATCAGCTCTGCTTCCATTGGTCCAAATGCTGTCCTACTTCATTTCGCCCTTTCAATGTCAAGCTTTGAAGCTCGTACCCTCCTTTCCTTGTCCGCAAGCCAGGAGAAGAGAACGAGTAGACAACAGGTGAATCAAACAAGGAGTCCAGTAGACCGCACCAGGATGCAAGGATCGAAATCAACAGACATTATCTCACCAGCCTCTGACAAGCAAAAGTTCCGCGTTGCTCCTTGGCCGCTTCCACAAGGCCCCCGTTTGCACAGAATGCCTTGAGCAGGGTCAAAAAACCGCCCGGCCACCCGTCGGGGCCGTCCCGATGCGCGTGGGCATAGTCTAGAAGGCGTTGAACCACATAGTTTGCAAAAGCTGCAAGTGACAAGAAAGTAACTTGAGCGACAGGCGAAGTGTGGGAACCCCGACTTGAGGTCTGAATGACAAGCTCCTTAAGGCAATGGGCTGGACGACTTTCTGGGCGGAGCGCAGGGCTACTGTCGCAGCGATTGCATCTGACTCGCGAAGCTCCAAAGAAGAGCGTATCCGACACCTGACCACAAAGAAACCCCTGTTCCCTGCTTTTTGGAACAACTTCAACAACTGCAGGCTTTCAGAGGCGGTATTCAACACTAGAAGTGCTTGGAGGGGGATTGATGCTGCAAGAGGTGCGTGTTCACACTTACGATGTGCCGCCAATTTGCTAAGATGAGGCCCCAAAACTACACATTGACGAGCTACTTTTCCGCTCTTCGGGTAGGTATCTCTGAGCATGAAGTCAAGATGACGAGCACCCTGCACAGTGATTTGCGGATCAGTTGTGAGCATAACAATATTGAAAAGCACATGCTCTGACAAAGCATTGCATGCTCAAACAATCGTGTATCAGTCAAGCTGCTTTGCTCATGAAACAGCCTTTTGAACATGCATTCTTGCATTAAAGAGACCATGTGATGTTGCTGCAATGTTCATCTGTAAGTATACTTGGAGTGGCACACTTGAAGTGGCAGAAGTCCTCAACCATAAGACGAACTTCTCTGATCAACCGTTCGGACTGAGATAATGAAATTCCAACGAAGTACTCCTCAATGTAATCACACAGCAACATTGCAAGGAGCGATGAAGATGATTCACTTCGAACAGATTGCAACCTCCCAAAAGCGACAGACCACCATATCAAGAGAGGTGCATTCGAACTACAGAAAGTGTCAGCAGTCTGAAGGACTTTGAGACCTACTTATGTGAAGCTCACCAATCTGCGCTGCTCCATAAATGCAGTTGATACCAATCAAATGGTTCCTAGACCGCAGCCCGTAAAAGCCAGATCAAGCACCGAATACTTCTTCAAGAAAAACAATGCAGAGAGGGACCAAAATGACGAGCCCACTCACCGTTTTGTCGTGAATCATATCCACAACGTCATTCTTTGCGGTCAGCGGTGGTATAATATAACCCTCTGGGATTGCATCTGTTCGTAACGAGTCTAAGGTGGGAATATGCTCTGAGATGCCCCGGGGTGGCACATACTCATTGACCTGGCCAATCGATTGGATCCCATTCCTCCCATAGAGTGTCCGAGGATCAGGGCCTTTAGGGGCCTCAACAACTGGTTTTGTTTCTTTTTGAAGGACAGGAGGAGTATCACTGTAGCCCTCAACTACTTGGCGGCAGAAGGGACACCGAACGCCTTTATCAGCCTGCATGGAAAGAATGCAGTAGATATAGATGCACTGCACGATGTTCTCAAAAACGAACAGAGGAAAAGATAGCAATCATTCAAATTTTATTTTCACAATGACTTTCATTCGCAAACCGCTTCAGGGTCTCCAGCCGATATGAACCCCATCCCAACACGGAAGTCCAAAAGAGAATTCTCCTGCCACACCGCTGATATGCGCAGAACCCCAGTCAAACAGTGCAGCGTGCCGCCAACTTTCGATGCCCCTATTTCAAGGATCTCCGTGCATTCAGACCCACGGTTTGCAGCTTTTCTTTCTCCTGATAATGCCACCACTCCCTCATAAATAGTTCCACTCTATTTGTGGGCCTATGATTCAAACCTGCCGCTCAGATCTACAGTAGAGGGGACAATGTCTAGCCACATACTTTGATTCAATTGCAGAGAGTTTTGCTGAGCTACAAGAATTCAGAGAAGAACAGGTTTACAAACCCTGTAACTTGACATGGGGAAAGAACCCCAAAGGACTAGGTCTTTGAGATCGAGTAGTAAAACCAGGAGCCCACACAAACCCTGGCAGTCCCTATTGGTTGCATTCCCCAACTCCGAGATTCTGACGGGGTCATCTGCCAGCTTTGCACTTCAAAAACCACAAGGATCGTGACGAAGTCAATTTCGCCGACCAGCCTGACTTAGCATGGGCAGTCAAATTAAATATCATTTAGACTTTTCAGGCGCCCGTTTCCTCAAAAACCCGATGACCAGGCTCTTTTCTAGTTTGCTTGATCATTCAACCAGACCAAGGACAAGAACTGTGCACCATTACCAAGAAACCCTAAGTCTCAAAGCCCATCAGCAGCTCTTCTTTCTCCTGCATAAGGAGATCACCAATGAAGCTTCTTTGTAACAAATTCTCCTCCAAGCAGAACCTATCCTCGCGTGCGTACCTTGTAAATGTTTGCTATCCGAAGCTTCTGCACACACTGCGCGCAGCTCTGATGGCAGCAGGGTACAAAGTAGACATCCGACGGCTCCACGCAGCAGATGTTGCATAGCCGGTCCTCGGGGTCGTCCATCTTGGCGCCCTCCTTCATCCTAGGGCGCCCGTCTGTTGCATTTGACCTTGATGAGTGCGCCATTCTTCACGTGTTCCGAGTCCCCTCACTAGAGCCACAAAGCCTGAGCCTGGCTGAGGCTGAGCTTCCCTGTGGCAGTGCAGCTCATACCGGCCTACGGTAGTAGGTATTGAATACCTACTCTAGAGAGAGTCAAGACCGTGCAGACTCGTCTCGAGAAGTCTCAAATTGGAGGGAAAAGTTCGACCGTCATCCGGCGTCGAAAGCATCTTGTGGACAGTTGAGTACAGCCTCCTTCGACGGGTAGAATTTGCGATCCGCTGCTCGTGGGACACTTCCGTCCGCTTCATTCTTACCAGTGGACGGAACACGAGTCCTCCAGCCGTATGCCAATTTGGCAAGCTGAGCTGCAGTCTGCAGAGCTGAGCCTGAGGCTGAAGCGGCGCTACGGAATGGCCGTGGCGCCCTCGCGAGGTGGTCTTCCCTTCAGCACTTCCCCATCTTACGCTCCTTTGCAGGGCAGGGCGGCCGTTGGGAATATGCGCCCTAGTGAGGTTGCATCGTCAGATGGAAGTGGGAGCCGGAAGCGTGGAACTCCCAAACTTGAGGAGACATTTAGAAAGGAGGAAAGTGGTCATGAGAGAGTTAGCTCCGGGTTTGAAGCCAGCACTTCCGAAAGCTCAGCTTTCCAGGGGCTAGGGTTGCTTCGGGAGGTGGAGCGAGATAATACTGCTCAGCAAATTCTGCCCACAATTGACGAGGGAAGCAAAAAGGGGGGCAGCAGAGTTGCACCTAGCGGTCCCGTCTCCTGGGGGGAGTCTCTGAAGTATGCGGTGCAAAGCTGGTTATTGGGCTTTTGGGAGGCCCTGATGATTCACAGGACTGTGGGAATTCTTGCCAGGTTTGTTCTCATCCCTTGTTGATAGGGACATCTTTAAGTTAGAGATCGGTCTTGTAGCAGTCCAGCTCTCTTTTTCGTCATGGGACTTGTCACATCATGCCTGTAACCTAGAACCTTAAGCAGCAGCGTTGTTCCAGAGAGCCAGTCTTGGTGTTCTGAAAGGTGGCGCCAGACATGAGCAGAAATGGTGGTAATAAGTCCTTGAAAGTTGGCTGGTTTTCACTTCCTTTCATGTTGAATGTTTGAAAATAGTCGTTTGTTGGTGCTTCACTTTTGCTTTTTTTTTCTCCACAACTTTGTTTGTCCCGCTTTGAACAAGAGAGTGGTGGTCACCCAGTAGGTTGGGTTATCACCTGGTTTCAGAAAATATTTGTCAGAAGAGGTAAGCAAGGAAGCTCCATGCTGAATTGCCATTTACAGTGTCATCAACAAACAGGGCTCTCCATTGACTCTCTGTCATATTAGTGGGTAATCCAAGTCGGAATGTTCTTCTCTGCAATGGGGCAACTTCTCTGCAATGGGGCAAGGAAAGACCATTTTGTGCATCTCCAATGTAGGTCGCGCCCCGTGCTTGTGCGGACCAGCCAGTGCTCTCTTCTCAACGGGTTCTTCTTCTTGGGAAGGTAGAAACTGCACCTTTGCTCTTTTCCTTTATTGACCACTTTTTCCCCAGAAGTTTGTTTTAGTCTTGTTTAGACTTTTAAAAAGGATTTTTGTGAGACTTGGACTGGACTACCACTAAGTAGTGCTAACAATTGGCGTTTCCAAGATACCAGGAAAAGAATTGTTGAGTTCTCCTATGAGCCCCTTGCAATCAAGACATAGCATGCGATGTTCTTGGTTCCAAGAGCAGTGTAGATGCTTTCTGCAACAAGAGTGACATGTTGTGTCAGCTGCCCCTTCCAAATGTTTCATGTCGACTTTGACCAACCCCTCTGTTGACTGGTTTTGCCAGGAGAGGACCATAGATGGAGGTGCATGTTTTTGCCCCTTATCAGAAGGTTGATGAAGTACCTCCGATTCGATATTCAACCCTCTGACCTGACCAAATTTTTTCTGCTTTCCCAGTATAATCCTGCTCAAGGGTTTCCTTGACCCTTCCTTGCGCTACCTCCTCGACTTACCCCGTCACTCAAAAGCAGAAACAACCGCTGGCGTCGGAGCAGGAGGCCTGGCGGCCCTGCACTCTCTCCTCATTGTCGTGTATAACGTGAGTTGCACTTCAGATTTTGCATAATATACCCTTCGTTATGTAGTAGGTGTGGTAAGCAGGCAGGATTGATCACCGCCATTGGAGCTGCGGTTTTGACCAGAGGCGATTGAGAAGAGGAGTCAGAAGCTAGCTTGGACTAAACCAGTCTGGAGACTGTTTTTTCTTTTGAACAGGTAGCCTTTTATCATAAGCCAGTAACAAGTGGAGGCTGGGACCCGATTGACATCGATTCTGTCATTACGCACTTGTAGTGTTGCCAAGGTGGGAAAAATGGTGGCAACCTGCTCCTTTGTCTGTCATTGGAAGAAGCATGATGGACAGTCCGTTGCTATGCAGATGTTGTGGCTCTACCCTATCTATGTGGTCAGCTTCGTCATCAACTGCATGTGGTGAGGCCTCCGCCAGTCAACAGGGACGTTTGAGTCTCTAGCCCGTACTTCGGAAAATCATTGATGCTCAAGTAACCAATGTCAATCATTTGTGCCTGCTGCTTTTGATAGCACCGATCTCTTACCTAAGCTTTTGAGGACGGCGCTTGTACTATGACCAAGTACTTGACCTTGTCTTTCTTAGTTCGATTGGAACGATAAGGTAGAGATGGACAAGGTAGAGATGGAAAGGCCTTCTATAACATTCTGCAAACGAGACTGACAAGGGTGCGTCAAGGAGTCTCAAGTCACATTTTGACCGCTGCCAATCGGATTAGCCCTTTCTTATTTTCCGGTTTGTCCCTTACTATTTAGAGTACTGCCTATCAATCGACGTTAGAGGTTTTGGTTCGCATAGCACAACTATCACACGGGTTATTATTGACGTTCATCATTCGTTTTAAAACCAATTGGCTCTTGCTCCCTTCGGACAAGTCGAGAGAGGAAGCTGACGACAAAACCAAGAGAAACAGACCAACAAAAATCTCTTAGGACACATGTTCATTTCGTGCACTTTACCCAGGCATCAAGACATTGCGAAGCGCGCGTATCAAGCCCTTCAGGGGGACCGCTCGCTTGCTGCCGCGCTCGGGGTCGAACCGCCAGATCTGTCAAAACCGGCGCCCCCACCCGCCAGCAAGCAGGGCGGGAGCGGGGTTGAAACGCTGGTGACAATGATTGGGGAGGAGGTGTACCGGGTCGTCATGTTTGCCGTCTTTGTAATACAGGTGAGCAAGCTGACGTTATGCTGAGGACATTCGCTGACGTCATGCTTGTGGTGCTTGTGGCTCTGAACGTATCGAAGTTTGTATGGCCCCGGTTAGATGCTGATACACTGGTCACACACGCCGGAGGTCTTTTCCGGCCGGCGGTCCCTTCTATCGTCGACGTCGGCCAGAAAAAGCCACTTGTTCACACATACCGGCAGAGGGGACCGGCCAGCCGAAATTTTCAGTGTTTAAAGCCTACTGGATTGTTCACCGGCCGTCCCCAGACGGTCGGCCGGAAAAAGCTGGGAAAGAATCTTGTGGCCGACGGCGCCGTCGACGGCGGCCGGAAGTTGAACAATCTGGCCGCCGAACGGAGCTTTTCCGGCGTGTGTGACCAGTGTACGACGAAATGTGGTATTACGTGGCTTAAACAAGTTCTTTGAGTACTCATAACCGGGTTGTAGGCCGTTATCTGATGTCAACGTTTGTTGGAGGCGCAATTCTGTCAATTCATGGCCCAGTCACAGCTCGTCAAGCGCTTTGTGGTATCCTCGATCGTTGCTGAGGTCATAGAATGCTGGCCAAGACCGCAGAAGCAACAACATTTGCCGTTCATCTTCACAGGTTTACGCCGTCAGCATCGTTCCGTACGTCGGACCGACGATGAACTTTTTGCTGCTCTCGTGGTTGTACGCATACTACTGCTATGAGTAAGTACTGCTGATGAAGCCTATCTCACATTTCTCTGCCTGCAAGTCAGTCCCCAGGTCACGTCCAGAGGCCAGATCTTAAGAATATTGTTCACTGCTTTCTGCAGCCTTGTCGAAGCACACGCCAGAGAATCCGATATTTCGCATTCACTGCTCCTTTTTAGGACCAGGGCGAACATCTGACTTTTGAGTTATAATTTGAATCAACATTGGTGCTTTTGTTCCGGGGTACTATCTGTCATCGGTCAGAAGTTTGATCTGTAACCTTCTCAACCTTGAACGTCGATTGGTACGCTGTAAATTTCGATCTGCAACTGGGGAAGAACCGTTGCTAGACCTGTCGAGCGCTTGTTTTATCAGCTCCCCCTGCTCTTTGTCAGAAACCATGACATGTGCCCTTTATGCAGTTACAAGTGGTCGTCGGCTGGCTGGTCTCTGGACGAACGGCTCAGCTTCTTCGAAACGCATTGGGCGTTCTTCGCGGGGTTTGGTAAGTTGTGTTTCTGTAAAGCTCTGGTGCTAACAGATGAAGAACATTGTGCCAGACTCTCTGCTTTATTTTTTGCGGGCTCAGATTGCGCGCCCCGGTTAGCGTTTAAAGGGCGTATTCGGCTCCTCCATCAGCACCATAGAATATGGCCTCATTCGTTTGCTCCGGACATCACACCAGATTCCTTGGTTGGGTTTTGGTCAATCGACCTGTTCTGAACCATGTTAGCGCTGTTCTGATCTTTTCGCAGCCAGACAAACAGAAGAGAAGCGGAAGGGAACCGCAATCAGTCTCAGCTCATGAATGGACGTGTACTAAAAGTCGTTCCTTACAGGAGCGCCGTGTACAATAGCCACCTACTTCTTGCCATTCTTTGCAAGTGCCGCAGTGTGGGCCCTCATCTTTCCACTCGTAAGCCTCACCTGCCCTCTCTTTCCGCCAACTTTTGCCTGTGTGCGAGGGCTTTCTGTGGCAGGTCCAGAGAAGACCACATCGTTGCACGGCAAAGCTAAAGCTTGGCTGGTATCGATCGCCGCAACAGAGTATCAGGATGGACATCACGTTTCGGAAACGACGAATCCTCTGTGCCTTGCGGAATGAGTTGGTATTACTCCTGGCGTGCTCGGAGCGTCAAAAGTTGGGTTTCACTTTTGGAGTGTTCGTTTCTTAGCTCCAGGTCGCTCTGAAGTCTGATTGCACAGAAGCTACACAAAAGTTTGATTGCACAAGCTGCACAGTAGACTCTTTGTCTAAGAGACTGATGCCAGATATTGTTTCATCATCAGTTCGTCCTTGTTGCGACGACATCAAATCCCGCTCGAGTTGTGTCCAAGTCGTTGAACGGGGACCCGCTCGCTGTTCAGAAGGCCCAAGCATGGCGAGTGCCGGTTTTCCGATTTGCAGCAGTGCAAAGGTGGGACACGTCTGTATGTGCTTCTTATTCTCTAAGTAGAGAGGGGCCTCTAGCTTCCAAAGCAGGCTTGCTTCGAATACATCGCTCGGTTGAAAATGATGCAGAGCGGTACACTGAAAAGCAGAAGCGCTCGTTGACTTTTCTTATATGTGACGCTGTGTGAAAGGTTACACACAGGGCGGCACTCTGATCGTGCTTATTACTGTGTGCAGTGTCGTGCTATTGAAGTTTTTGCTCCCCTCGTCGCGGGAGCAACAAACAATTAGAAGCTAAGAGAGGCCAGTGTCGCACGCTCATCTGAAGGACACTAGCCAGTGTCGCGTTTCCTTGTTCACATACTTTCTTGCAATCGAAGAGAAAGGGTTGGAGTTTAGGTGACCACTTTGCTGCCACTCAAACGGACTAGCCTTGTGAGGAATCAGATGAGTGATTAGAACGCCCTGCGTTTGCAAGTGTGCTCTGGCCTTTGTCGGGATAAACGGATGCTCCGAAGCCTGCCATACATGCGCCTTCATATCTATGGCCTGGCAGCAAGACGGCGGCCGAGTAGTCTGTCCAGTCCGCATTGGTGTGGCTTACACTTATGTGTACGTACGTTTCAATTGAAGGCCCTGGCGGTGATTTCATCAATGATCCCTTCTTGCTTCCTCATGCTGCCCCTTCCTCAGCATGCAGCTGAAATTCACGAAAACACGTGCCATAGTATTTCAAGGATGAAGCCTTAAGGATTTATGTTATCATCGAATCTTGGAGTAAGATTGGGCTGCTGCAGTGCTGCACGTGATACAATGTGAGCTAGTTAATCAATGCATGTGGCTCATCCGATGATTCGGTGAAATTTGAGTGGAAACGAGTGTATCGTTGGCCCCGGCGATCTCATTATACGCGGAAGGACAGCCGGGCGGGCCGCGCGACCGGAGCCGCCACCTGCGAATACGTACGCCGCACGATGGTGTCTAGCTCTTCGTATGCGAGAATGGATATATCTACAGTCACTGAGTCGATGTGTACTACTACAGTAGGAGTCTCATGATAAAAGTTAGCATGATCACACGACATATGCGTATAACGCCAACTACGTTATGAAAAACTTTGTCTGGATACTGCCTGCGTTTGTGCGACAATAATGTGTCGTGGCCATCATATGCGTACTTCGCTAACAGCTATAGTGAGTATGGAAAGCATGAGCGTCGAGTGACAGCCTCAACCTGGCAGGTCACCGCGAATCAACATACATACGCATATATATGGTGATTAATTGCGTATGCACACATGGCGGCTTGCAATTGGCGGTCGCAATCTCCATGATTGAAGCATAGACTTGGATTGTTAAGGGCGCAACAGACTGCAGCTTCGAGATTGCATGAAGCATCAACGCGGCAGCGCCGGCAAGACCTGTACCTGATTTCAATGGGTGCATATCTTCTGAAATCCTTCCCGACCACATGCGGTGATCGACTCCGAATATAATCCAGATGTATGCACTAGTAGCTAGGGCACATGAAACAAAAGCATGCAAAATCATGGCCAGCTGTTGAGCATTGCGTCGAGCATACATGCATGCAATCGACTAGTTTAACGGGTACTTGTGTCAGCGAATTGTCCAGATTCATGCATTGCACAACGACTTCATTGTAGGCCGGCCGGTAAGACGGACTCTAGTCAATGGCCTTCACGATCTGGCGGCTTATGAGCCCTCTTATCCATTTGCCAAGTTGAAGGTACTGTTGGTGTGGGCTCCCACCAGTGTAAGCTGGTAAGGCCAGACACTCGATTCAAACACAGCCATACCTAGCTAAAAACCGATCGACTTGCTTGTACAATCAGGTAGTATGTCCCGCGCCAAAATAGAAGGTCTTCTGATGGAGCTTAATTCTACCTGCACTTATTCCAAACCTGGGTCGACCTTGACAAGCTCCGTCCCTAATCGCAACCCTATTTTCCTAAGCCCGCCTTGACTAATGTGGCAGCCACTTTCAAGGCTTTGGCAGCCCTACGCAAAAGGCCGAGGATCTGCTTTGACAGTCCTCGGCAGGTAGTCGATTATAAGCAGCTTGTCTAGAGACTGAACCAACTCACGAGCGTACTCTTGATGGACTGGGTGTTCTACATACACGGTGCGGTCCGCTTCGCTTGCAAACGTGGCCATGAACGCGTGCGAGTACTTGTCGGCCTTACCCTCTATGCTCACGTCCTTGCCCCACTCAAATGCCTTCATCTTTAGGTCCGGCTTATCTGACAAGGCCTCGTACTTGGAGATGAGCTCCTTCTTCTTCTCCAGTGACACTGAGTCCTTGAACTTGAAGAGGACAATCTGCAGACATGTGGCGAGGTTAGAAAGAACAAAGAAATGCTGGGATTCCTAGGCGATTGCAATCAAATATGAGGGCGCCAAGATTGCGAATGATCCTTCCAGCTTCAGTCGAAGTGTAACCTAAGTGTACTTGGCCGCAAAGAGCAAAGCGTGTGGAACCATGTACGCAATGAATGTCGAGAGACAATACTGCTCGGCTTCGAGTGGACTTTTGCGAAAAGGAGGAAGAGTTCAGCCCTAGGGAAAATGCCCCTTTCATCAATCAGGCAAAAGTGCAGGCAACTGCCTGAAAGGGATCATCCACTTGTAAGCAGGAAGCCATACAGGCGCCAGGCAATGGGGGAGTTGAGGAAAGTTCAGCAACTTTAGTAGTTGAAGCAAGAGGCAGTCTAGAAGTTCAACCATCTCGGAAAAAGATTGGTCAAAATATGCGGAAGCCAAACGGATGAGTCGGACGAAGCAGCCGCAGTCTCCTTGTCACATCAAGGCGGAAAAGATCATGTTCTCAACCTCACAAAACGGGGGGCAATGGGAAGATTTGACTGACCTCTGAGGCACAGGTTCTACAAGAAGGGCCGAGGGTCGACTTTGACAGACTTGGGCAGATAGTCAATGATGATCAGCTTGTCCAGGTCAGGAATCCCAGATCGCACGAATGATTGGTGCGCCTCAGAGTCAACATACGCCGTCCGATCCTTTTGGGAGTGGAACGTCAACAGGAAGGCATGAGTGAAGCCCTCAGCTTTGTTCTCAATGCTGACGTCAGTGCCCCACTCAAACGATTGGACCTGGGGAATGGTTTCTGCAAGGCCCTCAAACTGTGCCGCTATAGCCCACTTCCTTTCCTCCGAGACACTAGGCTTGAATCCGAACAGCACTACCTGGACATAGGATAAACAAAAGGTCCCATCAACCCCTTTAAGTTGACAGGTATGAACACTAGGTTTCGCTGTTGCAGTTGAGCTAGCATGTGACATGAAGTTCATTGAGTCGAAGTTGGCTTCAATTTTACTCAGAGCTCCAAGAAAGAGAATCCCAAGCTGTCTCAGGTCTTTGAAGAGACTTGCCACCATATAATCATTTCTGGGAATCAGATCAACTGCCAGAAAAGTAAGATTCAATGCAGGCGGCCAAAAAACGAGGAGGTCCGGGCAAGGCGCCACCACAGTCCAAGGCTCCTCTAAAAAGGCAGTGCCAACCAATGGGGACGTCTTTGATATGGACCAGCATGCAGCTACAATTGGGAATTGTAGCGCATCACGAAGATGCCCCCAGCAATCAGGATAACAAGCACCTTCTCCTCAAACTGGTTTCAGATATCAAGCAAGAGGGACTGAGAGCAGCGAGATTCACAGCATTTCATTTGCTGAGAGGACCTGATTCCTCATGAACTGCAAGCTACTCAAGTGGATTGGTGAGGTTGTGATAGACAAGTTGTTTGCTTGGATAGATGGCGCTTTTCATCATGTAGCAATTTGGCAACATCGTCAGCCAAACCTGCAAAGTCCTATGTGGTTCATTGTGGCATTGAGGCAGTTGGAAACTTTGGTGCTTTGCCAGAACTTACATGCCGTGTGGTGCCTTTCTTCAGCTTGGCAAGCACCGTCCGACCAAGCCCAATGCCCATGAAAAGCCCAACGAAGAGCCCGGCGCCGAAAGCCATCCTGCCAAAGAGAGTGCGCCGCGGGCTCCTGACTTTGTGGGGAAAATGATACCTTGCTAACTTTTCGCTTGAAGTTGCAACTTGCAGGGATCCTTGCAGGACCACAAAATAACCAGCTTCAGAACTTGAGCAAATTTGAAACTTGAGCCTTCAAGGCTTGAAATTTGTGTATAGATATCCGTATCTAGACATTTAGCCAAGATGTAGGACTTTGGGCAGAAGACTAGCCTAAGTGAAAACTTATCATGAAGATTCTGCATGATAGGTGTATCTCGTCAGCTTAGGTTGTGCAGCCATTTAACGCTACGAACACATAAGTCAGGATTGCCTCTCATTCGGTAGGTAATCGAAATACTTCGTGCTCGAAAACCTTGTAAATGCCGTACCGGTAAAACGGTCGGTCGCGAAATGAAACCATTTGCAACAGGAGGAGCTCGTATGGCAAAAGCGTCTCCTTGATGCTGATGCGTACTTACACTGGTTTCAGGCCGTCATTTAGCCTCGTGATTGCACATCGACGGTTCGAAGGTCACCACTCTTGACTCGAAGTAGACCAGCAGACATTTCTCACAACGAGCATGCTCTGAGTCTTGGAAGTCTTTCCTTGAGGCTTGAAGTGTCAAGCGTGGGCAGGTTAAAGAATCTGAACAGAAACAGATGTGCAAACACAGGACGCCACTCCGAGCAGTGGCACTCGAGTCAAAAGTCGAGACGAAGGGCGGCCATGAGAAGACAACAGTGACATCTAATTCTCACAAGATGTCTTCGAAACGCCTAGATTTTGAGCAGACGGCCTTGAAAGTTGAGGAAGGCCTGGTCCGTCTTTAGGTTTAGGGAGTGGAGTAGGCAGGGCAGACAGGAAAGGCCGTCTTTGTCAGTCTCTGTCTGAGTCGCTAATGGACTTGGCTATTGCCCCCCCCTGCAGCTGAGACATCTAAGGTTCATGGCATGCAAGAGGGCAAGCCCGTAGGAAAATGAAGTGAATTGCACCACCTTGCAATTATGGTGTCAAAAAGCAATGTTCACCGGCAGGTGAGTATAAGCTGGACTCAGCTCAACATTATCTTAAGCAGCCAGAGGGCTTACAAGTTCTTCACGTTATTCTCGCCTACAACTCCCGGGATATCCTGCCATTGCCTGCTGTATTAGTTAAGGTCCTTAGTTGCTTTTCTTCTCAGTGGCAACCAGTTCAAGCTGCGCAGGCGACATTCTGCTGCCTTGAAAGTAGAAGCGTTCTTTATGAATTCCGCCAGCATACAATTTGCAGCTGCACTTGGTCGTGGAAGATTAAGCTCACCTCATCATCCTCAGCTGGACTTTCAGTACCACCATGGTGCAGTATTTCAGCATCAAGGATTTGCCATCATTATTCCTACTTGTGACATCACCACCTCTTCCAGGTCTTTTGGCGGCGCGTTCGCAGCGGCATCCGCACGTCAATTGCCGCCTTGCTCACAGCAGTCCTGGCGCTTACCCCCGAGATCTCCCGCAACCTCACCATCGCCTTCTTTGCAAGCGTCACCGCTATCATTATCACAGACTCCAGCCTGGGGCGAACTATTCACAACGCAGTCATGGTCTTCTGGGCTTGCGTCGCCTCCTCCGTCGCTTCCATAGTCTGCGTTGAGATCTTTGGCCGCTCGTACACGGCCATGCTCCTGTGCCTCACAGGGACGGCCTTCCTGATAGCTTATCCAGACGTCCACGTGCTTATCAAGAAGTTTGGCCTCGCCCTTGCTGGCATCGACTTCATCACCTTTTCAATAAGGCCCCAGACCACCTCAATCACGTTTCCCCTCAGGCTCGCAGCCACAACGATGCTAGGAGCAGCATGTGCCGTTGCCAGCATGATTGTCCCGACTCCTTTAAGAGCCACCACTCTAGTGAGAGACCGCGCTGAGCTGGCGGCCAAGTCGCTAGCGGCGCTTCTTAGTACTCAGATGGACGCGTTCTGTGCGGTGGAAGGGCGCAGCCTGTCGAAGCTCAAAGTCCAGGCGGGGATGCTGCGGCAGGCGGTGATGACCAACCTGCAGAGCATGAAAGACAGGCAGGAAGAGCTTTGGTGGGAAGGGGCTGGAGGGGCGCCAACTAGGAAACTGCAGCGGCTACTCAAGGTGGGGCACTGTGGTGGCAAATCCCCATCCCGTGAATCCCAACTCATGGTGGAGATGGACAAAAGAGTCTCTCTGGGATGTTACTCTCCGGTCTTGAGGAATTGTTGATTGTTATGATTCAAGGGTGGTGTAAAACGTGCTGAAGCCAGGAATCTCCAAAAGAGAATGCTCAGACGACTTGAAGCTGTCCTTCTTCAATTGATCGCCGCCGGAATGTTTGGGCAACGAGTAAGAAAGGGAATATGCAATAATGACATCTACTGCCCAACAAAACATCCTATATCCATGGCTCCGTTTGCTGGGAATCCTTCAAAGTAGTGCAGAGAAGCTACTCACTGGATTTTGGTTGGTGCCATCCGACAGAGAACTCTGTCTGATAGTGAAGATCATCATTAGATGAGAGCCGAAATGGAAGCTAACAGTCTTCAGTGAACCATGTCTCCAGGTGTATGACACCCTGCTCGGGCATTCAGCTGCTCTGGACATGGCGCTCCAGACAGGGCACATCCACGAATCTCCAAAGCTCCTGCTTAGGATTCTGCGGCCATCCCTGGTCGACATTGGGGTCTGGACAGGACTGGTGCTTGGGGTGGCTGTCGACGAGTTCAAAGGCAGGAAGGGTGAGTTGGGTCAGAACTTTGGATCGTTGCCTTTGTTTTGACGCCTGGTGATTAGCGTGTTGGTGTACGATTCCTGGCAAACAACTCATTCTCTTTCCGATCGAACTTCGTGATCAGATTTAGGGCTAGATTGTTTTTGTGACAGGGCTAGGATGTTCAGTGACATTAAACAGGCGCTCATCACCAGCACGGTGTGTTCCAGAGCGACCAGGAGCTGATGAAGAGTCACCTCCACTTTTTGTCATCCAATAAGAAGAGGAGACGTCAATTGTCTTGTCCTGTCACTTTACACATCTCGTTAGATATCTATCGAGCATACAGCAGAAGCAATTCTGATGCGGAGAGTACAGCGCCTTATTGACTACCAGCCTCTGTGTGCAGTAAAAGCAGAAAAGGGGGAGCAGCTTGCTGGCAAAGGCATCCAGCTCTTGAGGCGCTTTGACGCGACTCTTCAAGTCGCTCGAGAAAGGGCGTACTACGGAGTCAAGGGTGGCGATGCCAGTGCTCCGGTGACAGACTCCTCGAGCGAAGAAGCTGACGATCTGAATCTGAACCAGCCCCGTAGGCGGAAGAGAAGCAGCCACGTGGAGACGCTGATGAAGTGCTCTGTCGAAAGGTGAGGAAGACAAGCAGCGGTGGAACGTCTGGGCATGTGACAAGTACTTGGAGCATCGAGATTTACTGTGCAGACTGTGTATGAGAGCCTCTGTTTCAAGAAAAGAGGTTGCTGCTGCAGTAGTTCAAAACCACTTTCAAGCGTCTAGTTCTTGAGCCGGGAGTTTAGGTCTTATAAGGACATCTCCGCATCAAGCACAAGAGTAAGTCCCAACCCGACTTGCCCTGGGGACTTTGACCCATATTGATACAACGGATCTCGTCGCACTGGGTAAAGGGCTGTCAGCTTGCGTCTTCTTAAACCCAAATGCAGATGATGCTCTAGAAGAGCGTGTGTGAGTTCTTGAGTTGGCCAACCCACCGCCACTTTTTCGTGCAGCCTGATCACATCCCAGTTCTTTCTCTTCAACGTCAAGCACATCGCCCAGGAAGCCCTCTCCCTCCTGTCTGACTCCCCCGCCCCGCCTCCCCAAACCCCGCGCCTGTCCTTTGTGCAATCCATGCGGCCAGCGCCCCCTTGTACAAACCCGAACTGTGCATCGTCCGGTCGAAGCACGGATGCCAAGAAATCACGAAGACGCTCACAAGATGCAACAAGCGTCCAGATGCCAGAGGGAGGTGTTCAAACGAACGGTTTTGGTCCCTTGGGATCGAGCAATTTAGCAAGCAAAAACGGGGATAAGGGAAAGAGGAGGTTTGACGGGGTATTTGAGTTTGCCGGGCGATTCAAGCCGGATGCCAGGAAGTTGAAGGTAAGTCCGCTTTGGAACCCGGTCCTGCAGAAGTGTTCCAGATGTTCAGTTTAGAGAACCTTCAAATGATATTTTCTCAACGGCTATTGAGCATTGCAGACCAGCCGAAACTCTGCTAGAATGTCAGCTTTCTAGATCAGCAAATTAGTCGAGAAACAAGATGGTCTACTTGCGTAGAACAAATAGCCGGATGTTGAATGCTTCTTTCTTGCGTTCTGATTGCTGGACTCCTTTCCCACGTTTCTTCGTTCAACATAAAATGGTCAAGGCACGAAATTCAGACATCCAGTTGTGATTTCATGAAAAATTTGAGAGCAATTCTGAGGGATCCCCCTCATGCCTACAGGCCGGCAGTAAAGTCGCGTGTGCCGTGGGCGTGGGAGGCCTCTTAGGAATCATTGCTGGGCGTAACTACGGCTATTGGGCTGTTGTCACCATAGCTTTCATTATCGGGGGCTACCAAGGGACCAGCTTTCGGGCCGCGTGGCTTCGTCTCCAGGTACTTCCGGCGACCCAATCCTAAAGCAGTCGCGTCCTTTCTCTGCATGTTCCCCGCTTTCGTCCACGTCTCCTACCCGGTCCCCGTCTGCATCCGTCAACATCGCCGTCATCCAATCCTGTCACGTGGCTGTCATACACCTGCCTTTGCCTTGCTCAATCTGTTCACTGCTCTGCTCGTTCTCCGTTCTTTCCTGCTGGTCGACCTGGATTTATCTTCGCTTCTATCTCATTTGGCCCTGTCGTACATCAGAGCGCTTTCCGATATGCCATAGCTATCTGTGCTGCTGCCGCTTTCGGCATGAAAGTAGATAGCCCCTTTCCGTTTCTGGCAGCCGCCACTGTGGGGGTGCTAGTGGGCGGTTACCAGGGGGGTAGCTTCCGAACTGCGCTCAATCGGTTCCAGGTCAGCGAACTTTGCAGCTGATCATATGCCGATTAGCAAGACAGGCAGGCGTCTTTTCCGCAGGAAAATCTGTTTGAGGCCTGGCTTCGTTGGTAGTCTCAGAGAGCTTCTCCCTGAGTCTTCTTTAACGTCAGTCGTTCAAGATCCTCAATCTAAATAGTAGTACCTACGTTCATCACATAGATCATTGTGCATCATGGAACTGTCTCTGGATGTCATAAGATCTGATATTCCATCTCAATCCATGGTTTCTTTCTTTTTCTCCAGGGCACTGTGGCTGGGGCGATCTACGGGTACCTTGTGATTCTGGTCGTGCACGGACATCCGGTCGCCGTAGGCGCGCTACTTGTGCCCTGGGTTGCGCTTGTCACCTTCATACGGTACAGGTAAGACTGCGACTCTTCAGCAAGGATAAAGGAAAGCCAGACAAGGAATGTCACTTTAAAGAAAAACGGGAAAAGATATGTTTGTTGTTAAGAGAAGGATGACCCGTCTGTAACGAATTTGGAAGCGGCGGCAGCTTGAATTGCAACTGAGCAACCTGACGATAGAGGGCTTCCAATGCCGGGGTCAGTTTGTCAGGATTTTCCTTTGAAGTGCTCAAAAGGATTTTGATTCGTTCTACGAAGGTTGATGTATTGCTGCTTGAGTTGCAACTGAATGGGCTCATTAGGAAATGCTTTCACGACCGGGAGCAGAAGGTATGCCAGATGTTTCGGAGATTGCGGTTGTAGGGCTTCCTTAGCCACCAATTTTCAAGTCTTGCTCTGATGTACATGCGTTTCACGAAATCGTTACTTTCATCAGATGTAATCAGTTCTCCAGAAGCTTCTCCTCGACGAGCGGAAAAGACATCTTTGCCTTTGCACGTTCGTCTTCGGCGAATCGTGGTGATCTGCGGAAGGTTCAACATCCAGATAGCAAAGCGGACACAAATTCCACTTCCTTGCTGTTGCAGCAAAGCGTATGGCTACTCGGGCGTCGTGGCTGGCTTCACGGCGGCCATCATCATGTTGGGCTACAAAAGCTCCAACCAGAATGTGCAGGACTATGCGCTGGGGAGGATCACAGAGGTCAGTCACTGCGAGCCCATAGAGCCAAACCTGCTCATCGTGGACCTTCGCATGGGTATCTCTGCAGATTCAATTTGCTATACGGACCCTCTCGGGAAATATGTATGCAGAGTCACAAAGCTAAATCTAACTTTAGCGTGACTCTCTTGCCTGAGTCGGTTTGCCCTTGCCCTAGCGCGTAGGGGATTCCCCACGATAACAGAAGCGCAAGCAAGAGTCGGGATTGTCATGCCTACCGTGGAAGATATCTGAAACGAATGAAGCATAAGCACCACTGCAATGCATGAAGCTCAGAACCAAAATCAGGCCTTGTTCTTGTAACGGGAGCATGCAAATTAGCTGAACCTTGACGTGTCATTTGACGTTGTTCCGTGGCAGACGTGCATCGGTATCGTGACGTTCATCGTGGTAGAGACGTGCGTGTGGCCCAACCGTGCGGCGCTGCTCGTGCGCGAGGCGCTCATCTCCGCACTGCAAGACGCGCGCGCCTGCTTCGCGGCCATTGTGCGGTCCTACATGGAGGAGGAGTGCATGCAGTGAGTTGTTGGGCTTTGAAACCGCTCAATCTAGGTCTTAATTGAATGCAAACGTGGGTCCCGGTTCTACATTGGTTCAGCTTCAGCAGCAAATGCTTTTCCGGTTTTCTTGCTGTAACTCCAGTGATCGGCTTTACTGTGATCTCCTCAGGGCTGCCCTCTGCCGCTGCCTTGCACTCTTTTCAGTCCATTAGATCGACTGTAACACGTCATCAAGCAGAAATTAACGACCCCGGCCACTAACATTAGCGAAAGCCGATGTTAGCCAACCTCTTCTTACCTCTTCAGTTGAAATCAAACTGTCTTCATTTACTCTTAAGTCTTTCACTCGTGCGCTTCCTTTGTGCCGACCGGTTCTTGCCCGGTCAAAAGACGTTCCAGACAGAGCTTTCCACACAGGTCCTGTTCGCCATACCATTAAAACGGCACGTGCCTTCCCCTGCTTTCTCCAGGTGTCGTCAGAAGGCCGTGCAGCAGGTCGCCGCGACGGAAAAGACCCTCGCTGCGCTGATGGCCAAGCAGGGCCCGCTGATCGACGAGGCGGCCTCGGAGCCCGACTTTTGGCGTGCGCCGTTCCCGATCCCTGTGTACTGCAAACTTCTGGACCTGCAGAAGCGCATGGCACGGCTCCTGGTGAGGCGCACTGGTTGTCGTTTCCTTCTACTGCACATAAGGTCAAACTTGGCTGCTTGATCCAAGTCCGATTTGAGCCGATGGCAGAACTTTGCCTGAAGCGCAGATCTTGGACCTTTCGATGACTCAGACGTCATTCTTCGAAAGGCCAAGATTTTGCGCATAAGGCCAAGTTCTACGATGGGCTCAAAACGGAGCCAGGTTACGTGGCCAGGTTTGACCGAACCTGCAGTCTTCCTGATAAACCCGAGGCGAAAGGGACGAGTCGTTGTTAGATCATACCTGCCACGGGTTCAAATGTTTGGCAAACGGGTCGCCACCTAATCTAATGCGCTTTCCTCGATTGTACTGGGGCAAACGAGGCCCCTTTGAGAGACGTTTGAAAAATATATCTCTGTCGACGAATGTTGCTAGCTTGCGAGCGGATCGCTCGACGTGTAAACTGACGTCACCGATGCGTTACTGTCAAGTTGCTCTGTCTACGATTGAAGGTTTGCTGCGAGCCATGTGGGCTTCAAATGCGTCTCCGATTGAAGCGCAGCAAAATTACACGGATGTCCCACACTGACTGCCGGCTCTTGTCCTGCAGTATGCCATGGACTGCGCTTTGAGGGTAACGGGAATGGAGACGGCCGGCGAACAGACCGAGAAGCTCGTCAAGCCCTTGCAGTGAGTGTAGCCACGCAGCCAAAGGGTCTTGGTCTTGAATTGCAACTGCGATTTGGGCGCCACACCTCTCCTAGAATGAAACAATTCGAACCTCAACAATGGAAGCCTGTCGAGGACCAGGCATCTTTTCCGCGGAAACTTGGAAAGAGGATCTTAATGAGTCGACATTTCCTGCATTAGCGTTGCTTGGTGCTTCCTGAATGGATCTACATTTCCTACTGCTCACAAGTGCCGCAGGGACTTGGTGCTTCTTGAGCAATATGCGCTTATCCAACCAAACAATCTCCGGGAACGTCGGAGGTCGTCCATGTACTGCTCGCCTATCCGGCAATATTTACAAATAAGTCGAAAGTTGTGGATTTCAGCAGGTTTTCGAGAGCTCCAAAACCTTGCATCTGACGTCTCAAAACCCATCCTTGACGCAGGGGCCCGCTCCGATCCCTCGAAGCTGAAGTCCTTCTCACCCTCGACAGTCTGATCATCGACCTCAGAGCGCCCGCCAGGGCCGTCGGAAAAGTCGCAAACCCCACGCAAACCAAGCAACCCTCTTCGGAAACCGAGTTGACGGCCGCAGCGGCGGCCGTCAACGGAACGGACGGCAATCTGGATTCTGAACCACCATCTAGTGCGAAGATCCACTCTGAAGCGCAAGCTGGCGCGAATCAACGAGGGCCGCAGGATCGAGTCCATCCAACGGAAGACGTAGGGGGAGAGGGCCGCTTGGGGCCTCCTAGCGTGGATAGCGTACAGAAGGAGCCTGAAGGGTCAGCGGACAAGGAGGCAGCCTTAGATATCGAGTCGCAGGAAGCGTCAGGCGAAGGCACAGCGGAAGCAGGGGAGGGGGGCACGAAAAAGAAGCGGCATAAGCACGGCAACTTGCACCTTCATTGGGGAGGGGGGGACAAGCCGGTTGACAAGGAGGTGTTCCAGCACCCCGTGCAAGGGACTGACGCGGCGGGACGCCTGGGCGAGGCGGGGGCGGTCAACATCCGGCACGTCTTTCAGGAGTTCGAAGACAGGTG